CCGCTTCGCGCCTCTTCGAGTCGAGCTTCTTCACCCCTGCCCCTCTATTCCCTTTAGAGTCGAGTAAATTCATTCAATCCTGAACCATACCCTGATTGAACCTATACAGTGAAAGAATCAAGATCCATTCATTAGCTGACAGGAGAGGAAAGACGAAAGAAAGAAAGAAAGAAGCAGCATTATCCTTTATTTACTGTTCCAGAATAAATAGGTGGGTGAAGGAGTTGCATGAAAGGAGTTAGCTTACAGTCGAGTCAAGACAAAAAATGAATGAGAGTTCACTGGCAGTTAAGACTCAAGATTCATTCGAGTTTACAATTAGTTAGTTAAAGAAGAAATTTAGGAGTTAACAGTTAAAGAATCAATTCAGGAGTTAGCTGCTTTTCAAGACTCAACCGATAGATATTCCCTTTTTGACAGTGAAAGGAAAAGAGATAGTATAGTGAGTGAAGGGAGAAGAAAGACGAAATACATTCATTATCCTGAACGGGAAGGAAAGACTCCTTACCTTATTAATGAGACTGATTGAACTCTTGAACAAGGTCAAGCTATTTGAATGAGAGATTTTACAGTGAGTGAAAGAATCAATGAATTAGCTGCTTTGAAAGACGAAACTAAAGAAGAATTATCCTTGCACCTTTTCTTTGACTCTATGACCTTCCCTTATTTCTGAAGGTAAAAGTAAGTAGCTCTTTCCTGAACCTGAACCGGAAGGAAAGAAAGAGTAAATGAATTAGCTACTGAACCTGAACCTTCAAGTGTTGAAAGTCAAGACTCTACTCAAGATTCATTCGACTTTACAGTGAAAGAATCAAAATTAGATATTCCTTCTGTAAAGCTATTCCATTGCCTTCATCTTCACCTTATACTCTATGACATTCACCTTCACCTTCACCTTCACCTTATACTCTATGACCTTCCCCGATATGACCTGAGCTACTTCATTCCCTGAGCTACTGAACTGGAACCTGCTTTCTCTCCTTCACTTGTCCCTTCTTTCACTCTTTTTCGTGTAAGAACCTTTTATTAGTGATTTAATACTTGCCCTATGTTTTGGGCCATTGAACTCAAACACAAGGGAAATAGGCTGGATGAGAATCAGGTCAAGCCAAGCTCCTTTTCTTTTCCGATATTCCCTGACCTTCTTGAACAATAACCTCGGTGTGATTGTGTGTCTCGCAGCTTGGCCCCTTTCTGATAAGGCAACCCTAATCCTCAGCCCAACTATCCAAGCTTTTGTTTTAGCAAAAACTCTTGAATCAAAGTAATTAACACCTCCTTATACGAAATTTGGATCAACCAAGAGATAAGGCTAGAATTCGATTACCTCTTACGATCGAAGATCTAGAAGCAAGATTTGGAACCTTGTTCTAAATTGAGTCACTCCACAATCTAACTTAATCAAGGCTTGATTGAATGGCTCAGGTGCAATTCTACCACAAGAATTGCTTGAAACTTAAAAATGACAAATATGATGCTCGGATTTCTAAGGGAAACGTCTCAATTTGAGATCTGAATTACATTCATCCACAAATTTGATTTTTACATAACATATTGTGGGTATATAGTCTCCCGACAAAAGACGTTTGTGGCCGGGATTCAATCTCGATCCCCTTTAATCTCCACAAATGACGAGGTCAATTTTGACCAATTGACCATTGCAAAATGAAAACAAAAAAACAATAAAATCTTTTAACAAATGTTGATATGTTTGAAAGGCTAAAGAAATAAACTTGAAATCTATTAGGCTTCATTCGGGTAGGTTTAAACCCTGTTGTTGACATTTTAATGTTTTCCAACTTCAACCGTGCAAATATTCAATTGTCTTCGTCAATCGTATCAGCTTTTAATTCTATGAATGTTTGTTGAATCTTCTTCGCCTAGGATCGTGTAATAGGTCTTATCATCTTCCCCCTCTTCAAAAGGATTCGTCCTCGAATCAGATCAGAAAAATCATCACCTACATCAAAAGGACTCAAGAAATTGAATCTTCTTCGCCTTGGATCGTGTAATAGGTCTTATCATCTCCCCCCTCTTCAAAGATTCGTCCTCGAATCAGAAAAATCATCACCTACATCAAAAGGACTCAAGAAAAATCATCACCTACATCAAAAGGACTCAAGAAAAACCATCACCTACATCAAAAGGACTCAAGTCAACAACATTGAAAGTAGAATGTACTGAAAAGTCTCCGAGAAGATCAATTTTACATGCATTGTTATTAATTCTTTCAAGGACTTGATAAGGGTCATCTCTTCTTGGATGTAACTTTGTCTTTCGTTGAGATGGGAATCGCTCCTTGCAAAAATGTATTCAAACCCAATCACCAGGTTTAAAAATGATTTCCTTTCGTCCTTTGTTAATCCTTGAAGCAACTTTGAAATTTTGGTTCTTAATTCTCTCCTTCACCTCCTTGTGCAATGTTTTGATCAAGTCTGCCTTACTTGTGGCTGCGTCACTCACAAACATATTAGAAGGAATAGGAAGCAAATCAAGAGGCGTAAGTGGATTAAATCCATAAACAACTTCAAAAGGAGAACAATGAGTTGTACTATGAATTGCTCTATTATATGCAAACTCTACAAATGACAAACGTTCATCCCAAGACTTAATATTCTTAGAAATAATAGCCCTAAGCAATGCTCCTAATGTTCTATTAACCACCTCAGTTTGTCCATCGTCTGAGGATGACATGTAGTTGAAAACAACAATTTGGTACCCAATTTACCCCACAATAATTTCCAAAAGTGACTTAGAAATTTAGCATCCCTATCACTAACAATTATTCTAGGGATTCCATGTAATCTTACTACTTCCCTAAAAAATAAGCCAGCAACATGTTTTGCATCGTCCGTCTTGTTACATGCAATAAAATGAGTCATCTTACTAAATTTGTCTACCACAACAAAAATACTATCTTTACCCTTTTTAGTGTGCGGTAAACCCAAGAACAAAATCCATAGATATATTAGTCCAAGGTTCATTAGGTACATTCAAAGAAGTGTACAATCCATTTGGTTGTGATCTAGATTTAGCTTCTTTGCATTTAAAGCATTGACTACAAAATTTATGAACATCATGCTTCATTTTCAGCCAAAAGAAGTGTTCATGCAACATATTATAAGTTTTATTAATCCCAAAATGTCCCATTAAGCCACCACCATGTGCTTCTTTTACAAGCAAATCTCTAATAGAGCATTTAGAAATACAAAGCTTACTTTTCTTAAATAAGAATTCATGAAACACATAATAATCTTCTAGAGCTGTTGTTGTAAGACAAGATGCATAAGTAATTCCAAAGTCGTGGTCATCTCGATATAATTCTTGAATATGCTCAAATCCAAGAATTTTTGCACAGAGAGAAGTAAAAAGATTGTACCTTCTAGATAATGCATCAACTACCACATTATCCTTACCTTGCTTATATTTGATGACATACGGAAATGTTTCAATAAACTCCACCCACTTTGCATGCCTATGGTTCAGTTTGCTTTGACCCTTAAGATACTTCAAGCTTTTATGATCAGAGTGGATCACAAATTCTCTTGGCCATAAGTAGTGTTGCCACACCTGCAATGTTGCGAACTAAAGCAAACAATTCTTTATCATAGGTTGGATAGTTCAATGCTGCCCCATTTAGTTTTTCACTAAAATACATTACGGGTTTGCCATCTTGCATCAAGACAGCACCTATGCCCAAACCACTTGCATCACACTCAATTTCAAAAGTTTTATCAAAGTTAGGCAAGACAAGTAATGGTGCATTGGTTAATTTATTCTTAAGCTCATTAAATGGTGCAGCTATGGTGCTAAAATCTTTTATAAATCTCCTATAGAAACTAGCTAACCCATGAAAACTACGAACGTCACTTGCATTTTGTGGTGTTGGCCAATCCCTGATTACTTTAACTTTCTCTTCATCTACTTCTACTCCATTTTTACCAACTATGAAGCCAAGAAAGTTAACTTTTTCCATGCAAAACCTACCCTTATTAAAATTAGCATAAAGTTTCTCTTTTCTAAGTGTAATAAAAACTAACTTAACATGCTCCACGTGCTCATGCAAGGTTTTTGAATAAATTAAAATATCATCAAAATACACAACAACATGCTTTCCTAAATATTTGATATGAATCCAACAACTAATCACTTCCATGTACCCGAACGAGCAATTACAAGAATTAATACAAAGAACGAAGAATTTGATTTGAGGACAAATCCTTTTAAAGAAAGGGGGATGATATGAATCCAACAATTGATCACTTCCATGTACCCGAATGAGTAATTACAAGAAGCAATACAAAGAAGATTCAAGTATCAAATCAAGAAAATAATGGAGTGGTTGACATTGGAAAGTGATTAGAAGACTTGTCATTGGTCGTTGAATTACCAATTAAGACAATTTATGAATGCCTCATTTTCTTCAATTTGTATTTAATAGCATTTATTAGTGATTTGTGGTTGGTGGCTGAACTTTATTATGTTAGGGTTATCTTTTGGGCCTATTTAAAGGCACGTAATATTCATGTTTGGGATGAATGGTTGAATACAAACAAAACTTTTGTGTTTTCTTAATACCTTTTTTGTGTTATTCTTTTTCAAGCCTTGCTTTAGGTTTGATGTTTAAACTGATTCATTGAATTAGTTTTGATCAAGCTAATTCTGGAGTGGATGGTCTTTGTATCTAAGAGTGACCATCATAGATTCCAAGTTCGATCTAAGAGTCATTCATCTGTTGGTTGGAATCTAAGAGTCATTCATCTTCTAACCAGCTCTTGGTTGTAATCAATTCATTAAGTTAGCTTTCTCTTCTCTGTGCAAGCACTACAACAAATAGGGCTTTTTATAGCTTTTTGATATAGCATTTTAAAATAAATGCTATAATTTTATAAGAAAAAAAAGCGGACATATGGTATTTTATTTTTTTATTTTTTCTTTAGTTTTTTTAAATGGTTAATAAGGGAAACCCTATCTCGAGGATTTAAAACCATTCATTTCTTTCTCTCTTGTTCTTTTAGCCGAATTCGTCCTTCATCCCCTTCTTTTTCTCGCTTCATCCCCTTCTTTCTCTCTAGATACCATTCCCATATTTCTCTCATCCTCTTCTTCCTCTCGCTTCATCCCCTTTTTTCTCTCTAGATACTCTTCTGTCGTTCGTTTGCATCAGTCTTATGATGGTGTCCCCTTGGTGCTTCAAATTTTTCTCATCAAAGTAGTTGATTTGCATTAGATTTCAAGATGGTGGGTCCATTGGAAGGAGACATGCATTCAGTGGCTTGTATACAAGAAACCGTATTTCCCTCCCTAACTGCAAATCAGACAAAATAAAGCAAGTTCTGTGAGGTAGATGTTGCAGTTGTTTTGTGTTAAATGGTTGAATGAAGTTTTGTGAGTTATTAGGATGATAGAATCTCAGGATGATAGATTCGATTGTCCCTATCTATTCTCGCATGTATTGCTTCTGGCTGCATTAACATTATTACATGAAAATTAGAACAATTTTCAAACTCAGATAGCTTAAGTCGATGACATTATTGTAATTATTGAGACTCCCCATTTCTTCGCCCTACAATGGATTGAAAAACTTGCTTTTATGTAATTGTTGAATGTAGTTTGGAGTTCTACCCATATACCCTGAGAATTGGGGTGTGAATGGGAAAGAATAAGAAGGTGAATTTGGCTAGCCTGCGTTTGTTGGGTCGGCAGAGTAGCTGCTTATATCATAGCCTTGGAATATATAGGAAATTAAAGTGAGTCAGCCAAGTAAGGCTGGACAAATAAGTGGTGCTCATTTATAAAAGGCAAATTCTTTTGATTAGAACTCTCTAGTACAGTGAACTTGTATTTTCAACTTTAGGATTGTCACATGGGTGGTCTTTTGATGTAGAGACATTCAAAGAAAACTGACTAGAATATAATCCGTCTTTACCCAATATATATCCTTTCATCTCTAAGCATTATTTACTATTAACATTTATAGATGTTTCATTTCACATTCAAGTAACAGGTAATAAACAACCTAGTAGTGCAATGGATTTTGAATTGCGTAAATGTGCCAACATCTCCAGGGGTGACAAATTTTTGGATGGTGCCTTCAAAGACAAACTTCTGTCTCAGCGTCATTTATGGTTAACATCTATATATTCAAGTGATAAGATGGAGAAAGTGGACATATTGTCAACCTTGGTAGAAGTTGCTCTGGAAAGAGGTACACATTCAATTGAACATTTTATTTGCTCTTTTGTGATATATATTCAATTGGTTTGTGTTTCTTTGATATTATTCCACTTTCTTTCTCCCACAAGTAAGAGGGTTATCCTTTAATTTTTGAAGTTAGAGGACTTTGAAACTTTCCTTAACCGACTACCAAAAAGCATTATCAATTTTAAAAGTTGAACCTAACCAGCTGAACTGGATCCCTATTTCAGATTATAAAGCTTATTTAAGTATGTAAATAGAATATAATATATACATAAAAGTTTGTTTTTCAAATATTCTAGTTGAGGATTCAAGAAGTTTGGTTTATAATGTAGCTTATAAATTGTGGGAGCTTGTTAGTCTATGTTTCTACTCTAGTGTACTGGGAGCTTGTTAGTCTATGTTTCTACTCTAGTGTACTCAATGGTGAACTATATCTTTAACGGTATGTTTCTACCTAGTTTGTTAGTTTTGTTTATAATTCTATAGTTTTTATTATTCCTCATTTTAATGTACAACATCATGGGTTCTTGTGTTTGTAGGGCAATGCTACAACAATTATTGCATATGGATCACTTAGAGGTATAAAGTTTTGGACTTCTACCTAGTTTTCGGTTATATGATATTTCAATGAAACTTTGGTGTTTGATAAAGGAAGAGCTTGCACTTCTCTTTGAATTATTGATTTGACTTATTGATTTATGTACTTCCATAATGTTGCAGGATTTCTTGAAAGCTCTAATTGGCAAGCAACAACGAACAATAAGGGTGGAACATAGAAGATATTGATGCCTTCTCGAATACCTTTAGGGTTGGTAGAGTTGATCGTATAAAAATCAAAGATGTCACATATTTTGGATTATAAATTTTTGTTCTGTTTATTTTGTATTTGGGTGAGGAGGAACTAATTTGATTATTTGAAAATTGTGGAAGTGTAACACGTCTAATATTCTTAGGTAGATTTAGTTGAATACTTTATTTTGTAATGTGTTATCAGATTTTAAAATTTCAATTATGAATAGAAGTCTCTTGATATTTAATGTATTATGAAATATTATTTCATGTGCGTTGATTGAGCCAATAGTAAATTATATTTCAAAAATATCGTTGAGAAAATTTATACAAAATGTGCTATTAAACGCATATTAGAGTAATTATAACATACTATATTATAGCATAATATTTTAGCTATATTTAGATATTATAGCTTTAATAAAAATGCTATAAAAGATTTTCATAGCATAATATATAATGCATACTCTATTATAGCATTTATTATAGCTATATAAAAACGCCATAAAAAGTTTCAGACTTTTAATAACATGGGTTGTCACGACGTACGAAAAACGCTATAAAAAGTTTACGATAATGTTTTTCATAAGCTATAGTATACCATATTTCTTGTAGTGAAGGATTCTAGAAGAACCTCTAGCTTTGCAAAATCTAGCATTGTTGGCGCTTATCATTTGGTATCAGAGTATTTCGTCGACGTTCTTTGGCTGCTCTAGAGGTGAAATACTTTTATTGTTATTTTTTTTGTATGATTTTTTTCTCTCTCTCAGATTATTGAAAAAAAAAAAAAAGAAGCCAACCTTTACATTCTTGACCTAATACTAAAAGCTTACCTTTGAGTGTTAAACACGAGTGTCCCTGAGTGAAATTTTTGTGAGAACTGCGGAGAGGTCCCTTGATAACAAAATGTCACATCATGGAGGAGTACCACCAGTACCAGATCTTAATACAACCATTCTTCAAGCAATTCAAGGTATGATGGAAACGATGGTGGAAGATAGACTAGAAAGAAGGGCGCAACAACAAAAACAAGAACGAACATTACAAGAAGATGAAAGTATGGTAGTACAAGAAAGACAAATTGAAGGAAGATGGAGAGAGGAAGAAATAACCATGCAACTATTAGCAACCTAGAATGATGGAAAGAGTACATGAAGATAGAGATGGGGGAGTTAAACTCAAAATCTCACCCTTTTGTGGAACGGCAGATTTTGAGGCATACTTGCAATGAGAAAAATGTATGTTCCAAAACATTATGAAAGAAATTTGAAAACTAAATTGCAAGGTTTGAGGCAAGGAACAAAAAGTGTGGCGGAATATTATCAAGAGATGGAGACTATGATGGAAAGAGCAAATGTTAGAGAAGAAGAAGAAGATACCATGTCTAGATTCCTTGGAGGTTTGAATCGAGAAATTGCTTATCTTGTTGACAGAAATCCAACACCATATCTGGAAGACATGTATCATTATGCTCTTAAAATTGAAGACCAATTGAAGGAAGAAAAAGAGCATTCAAAAAGGTACACATCACGAACTAACACCTTTTCAAATTTTAAAGCTTGGAACAAGGATAGTTGTGATTAGAAATGAATCGATCACCAAAAGAAAAGTTTGTGACTGCTGAAAGAGTGGAGGCTGAGAGTTCCAATGGTAAAAAGAATGAAGCTTCAAAGACGATAAAGAAGAAGTCTAGTTCTATTCAATGTTGGAAGTGCAAAGGGTTTGGACACATGAGCAAAGAGTGTGTTAATAAAAAAGTTATGGTAATAAGGAATGGTATACTTGATTCGGACGATGAATGTGAGGATCATGATTCACAGCTTGTGGAAGAAATCGCAGCATGTGATTATGAGTATGTTGAAGAAGGTAATTCCATATATTTGATCACAAGAAGGGTACTCAATGTTCAAATCAAGGAAAAGAAATTTGAAGATCAAAGGGAAAACTTGTTCCACACAAGATGTTTGATCAAAGGAAGCCCATGCAGCTTGGTGATTGATAGTGGAAGTTGCACAAATGTGGTAAGCAGCTTCCTTGTAAAAAGACTTCAACTTTCTGTCCATCCTCATCCAAAACCGTACAAACTTCAATGGTTGACAAACAATGAAGAAATTAAAGTGAACTCCCAAGCTCTTATTTCTTTTACTCTTGGAAGATATAAAGATGAAGTCCTTTGTGATGTCATACCAATGCATGCGGGGGACATCTTGTTCGGCCGAACTTGGCAATATGATAGAAAGGTAACATTTGATAGTTTGATGAACAAGTATACTTTTACTTTGTGTGGGAAGAAATTAACTTTATTTTCGTTGTCTCCATATGAAGTACATTGTGATCAATTGAAATTAGAGAAGAAAAGAATATGAAGAACAACAGTGGAGAGAAGAAACTAAGGTAAAGGTGAGAAAAAAAAAAGTGAGAAAAAAATATATTAGTAGAGAAAAAAAAAACAATATTCAGTTCTTGTCCGGAAAAAGAACGAAGAATTTGATTTGAAGACAAATTCTTTTAAAGAAAGGGGGATGATATGAATCCAACAACTGATCACTTCCATGTACCCGAACGAGCAATTACAAGAAGCAATACAAAAAACGAAGAATTTGATTTGAGGAAAAAACTTTTTAAAGAAAGAGGGATGATATGAATCCAACAACTGATCACTTCCATGTACCCGAATGAGCAATTACAAGAAGCAATACAAAGAAGATTCAAGTATCAAATCAAGAAAATAATGGAGTGGCTAACATTGGAAAGTGATTAGAAGACTTGCAATTGGTAGTTGAATTACCAATTAAGACAATTTATGAATGCCTTATTTTCTTCAATTTGTATTTAATAACATTTATTAGTGATTTAGGTTGGTGGCTGAACTTTATTATGTTAGAGTTATCTTTTGGGCCTATTTGAAGACATGTAATATTCATGTTTGGGATGAATTGTTGAATACAGACAAAACCCTTGTGTTTTTTTGATACCTTTTTAGTGTTATTCTTTTTCAAGCCTTGCTATAGGTTTGATGTTTAAACCGATTCATTGAATTAGTTTTAATCAAGCTAATTCTTGAGTGAATTGTCTTGGTATCTAAGAGTGACCATCATAGATTCCAAGTTCGATCTAAGAGTCATTCATCTTCTAACCTTCTCTTGGTAATCAATCTGTTAAGTTAGCTTTCTCTGTGAACATTTTGCAAGGATTCTAGAAGAACTTCTAGCTTTGCAAAATCCAGCATTTTTGGCGCTTATCAATATTCTCTCAAAACGTGATTCATTAAGCGCATAAATGTACTAGGAGCATTAGTTAACCTAAAAGGCATAACATTGCCCTTCTAACCTCTCCAACTCTAGCCAAACAACTCACATTCTTTCCTTTTTCTCCAATTTCATTCTTTTTTTCACTATAGTTTTCTCGTTGACCTTTTTCTATTTTTTCACTCAATTCTTTTTCCTCAAACTCTTTCTTTTTTTCTTCCAACTTTAATTGATCAGCAAATACATTTGCAGAACTCAAAGGTACAAGAGTGGTTTTTCTACCATCTTTTACAAAAGAATACCAATTCAAATAGCCATCATACATAACCCTCCTGTCAAATTGCCATGGTCGGCCAAGCAATATGTCTCCAGCATGCATTGGTAAAACATTACAAAGAACTTCATCTTTATATTTTCCTAAAGTAAAAGATATTAAACCTTGAGAAGTTACCTTCATTGTTCCACTATCATTGAGCCATTGAAGCTTATAAGGTTTAGGATGGTGTTGGGTTGGAATTAGCAACCTTTTGATCAGCATTGTACTTACGACATTGGTGCAGCTTCCACTATCAATTACAAGACTACAAGGAGTCCCCTTGACTAAACATCTTGTGTGAAATAGGTTGTCTATTTGATCATCAACATCATTCTCTGTAACTTGAGTTTTAAGAAGTCTTCTGGTTACAAGTGCCAAATGACTCCCATCTTCTAGTTCCTCCTCATTCTCCTGGATTTCCTCTTCAACTAGCTCATCATGGTCACTTTCCTCACTAACTGTGACAACTTGTCCATTCTTGATGATCATGACTCTCTTGTTAGGACAATCACGACTAAGATGACCAATTCCTTGCCATTTCCAACATTTGATGTCTCTATTTCTTTCTCGAATCTCCTTATATTCCTCTGCTTTCTCTTTACCCTTGGAGGTCTCAGCTTTGTTCTTTTTGTCAAGATCATACTTACCTCCAACTTTGAAATCTATCTTTTCAATATTTGCATTCTTTTTCAAGTGTTGAAAGTAGTAGACTTTGAAATACCATACCTCTTGGAGTTCTCCTTCTCCCAAGCTAGTTGCCCTTCGATTTTGACAGCAAGGTGTAACAATTCTTGCATATCAAAGTACGCTTGCCTATCCACTTGATGAGCAAGTTGTCGGTTTAACCCACCAAGAAATCTAGCCATTGTATCTTCCTCATCTTCATCAATACATGCTCTATTAATAAGGGTCTCCATTTCTTTGTAATATTCTTCAACACTTTTGGATCCCTGTTGTAAAGTATAGAGTTTTTGCTTGAGTACTCGAGAATAATGTTTAGGAATGTATCTTTTTCTCATGTCTTCAATTCCTCCCACGTTTCAATTGGTTCTTCGTAATTTCTCCTCCATTCTGATTTTAAAGATGTCCACCATATAATGGCGTAATCACAAAATTTAGCTACAGCAAGCTTCAACTTTCTTTCTTCACTGAAATTGTTGCAATCGAAAACATGCTCAATTTTGCTCTCATATTGCAAATACTCCTCTAGATCAAATCTCCCATAGAAAGTTGGAATTTTTAGCTTTACTCCCTCGACTCCTTTTTCTTTTTCTCTCTCATACTAGTACTCCCTCTCAATTCTTTTTGGTGCTAAAATTTCTCTACCCCTTCTTCTGACCCTTCCTCTCCCTCGACCGACATCTCTCCCTCCCCTAGGACTATGTCCCGCTAAAAGGGTGACATTGTCATCTTCTTTATTTTCAACTCCTTCATTCAAGAGTACTTCCCTCCCTTGAAGATTACCTAAGGCTATTTCAATTGCTCCATTCAGTCTGTCAATGTACTAATAACTTGATTCAAACGAGTAATTGTTCCAATCTGTGCTTCTCTCCACCTAGCTTCATTGATCTCCCCTCCATTTTCTCCGTCTTGGTTCATGATTATACAAACAGTAGTGGAATATGTTTAGGAGCACACTCAACTCACTGATTTTACACTCAGGGACACTCGTGTTTA